TATATATATTCAAATTTTTATTATATTTTACTAATTAATTGTTAATTTATAAATAAAATTAAAAATCAAAATTAGTCCAAAAACTTTTGCACCATACTGTATATAAAAAAACAAGAATTAAAAAAATCTAAAATTATTATTATATATTATTATATATTTTAATTAATAATAATTAACAGATATATTATATATTCATAATAATTTATAGATTATTATTGATAATTATCAGTTAAAAAACTTTTTAATATATTAATATAGGTTTGTTTATTTGATATTAATCAATATTAATAAATAGTTATAATAGATTGTAATTAATTTATAAATTATATAAAGATTGTTAACACTTGTTTGTGATAATAAAAAAATTTATTAATATAATAATTATAACTTTTATTTTATTAAAATCTTGTATTTCATAACTGTTTATAATAAATAAAAAAATATTACAAATACGTATATTTTTATTAATTAATAAATTTATATTAATGTAAATTGATTTAAAACTAGTACTCGAGTTTTTATACTTGAAAAAAGTTTTTTTGATATACAGTAGAAGTTGTTCTTTAAAATATAAGTAAGTATATATTAGAAACAAATATATTTATAAATTTTAGAATATGTTAATACTGATAAATCTTAATATACAATATACAGTATGTAATCAAATATAAATTATTTAATAAAATAAAACGTATTGAATAAAAGTATATATTATAGAAATATGAAAAATTATTATCAAATAGAATTTTTTTAAAATTAACATTGTGGGAGAGTATTTTTTTTTAATTAAAAACATTATCATTATTTATTTTTTAATAAAAAATTTCAAATATTATATTAGTTTATTTCTAATATTTAAATTATCGATATATCTTTTTGTGCAATCTTTAATGCTTATATTTGTCAATAAATAAAAACCTTAGAAAAAAGTTTGATTGAAGAAACCATTTGAGTTGTTTTAATGAATTAATGTAAACATCGGTAATGTCTTGATTAGAAAAATTATACCGCGTATACAGTATACAATATAAACACCGCATATTAAACAAATTTTATTGATAATAAAAATCTGATTACAAATTTCACGAGATACCGATGGACCATAACTTCTATTTTCTTATTCAAAAATGAATCGAAAACATATTCCCTGCATATGCTGTCGATGCAGTCGATATGTGTCAATCTGGATTTTTTTTTAAAAAAATGTATGTATTTTTCAATTTAAAATTAACATTAAGTATATGATGCAAATGTGCATAGGTGATATAATAGATATAAACATATACCTGCGGCATGAGAATTAAGATTTTAGGTTATCGAAAATATTGTTTTCACAAATTCAATTGGTGCCTTTCAATGGTTGTGGATTATTAATACAATATGTGTATCCGATTATAATCATACGTAATTGTTAAAATATGAATGTATACATACAGTGTATTCATTCATGTAAAGATAAATTTCGTGAGATGGTGTATGTTAATAACAATGTAAATGAAGAATAATGATGAGAAAACCCTTGCATCTTCATTATTTTACGTGCACACAAAAGTGTCATGTGCACTGATAAGTGATAAGCAATGGAGTCGCGGAATTACATCCGACAAGATAGATGTGCCAAATATTCGCACGCAACCACGTACATTGATACATCAGAAAGGGTTTGAATTCTTATCGATAGAACGAACATTCGAAAATAAAGTTAGAAAAGAACTCCAATACCAGAGGAGTCCCTTATATTGTACAACAGACACTAGTCAATTCAAAGACAGTTTGCGTACAATATATAACGGAAAGAAAAAAACACCATCGTTATCCGATGTACGGGTTGTTTCTATTGGTTTCCAGGATGGCGGATTAAAGTTAGTTGAGTACAGTATATCTTTGACCAACGTTTTGCAATTTCATTAATTATTCTCCGATTCATATTCTATAGTTCGTTCATTTATTTATTTATTTATTTATCGATTGATTGATTGATTGATTGATTGATTCATCACTTATTTTTTTCTATAGTTAGCATTACATCTACGCGCGATAATTTTGTTTGGTGACTTAAATCCATAAAGCATCAGGATCCAATAACTTATTTGGGATCAACCGTTTTCCGAAATTTCACCAGTGACACATCTCTGGTTAAGATTTGTCAATTCCTTATGCACGGCGCAAGGGTTCCAAGGGATAGTGTTGCATTGATGTGCAGCTATTAATGTTGTGTAATGTGGTACAAAGTACTAATAAAGAAAGATGTTAAGCAGTTGAGTATTGCTTTTGAAATTTTTGATTATTTTGTTTTAATTAAAGCCACAAACTTGGTCTTGACTACCGTATGCGACAAAGAATGGGTGTATCCATCGGATTTGTGTACAAACACATGTTCATGCATCGCAGAAATTCACAATGTTTACGAGATTTCTCACTCACAGCCGAATTTACAGTATGTGTAGTCATGCACAGTACGGTATTTGAAAATAACATTGAACGTACGATCTTCTCCCCGTCATCATTTTTAAAATGTACGTAGATAACAAGCGAAGAGATTTTGTCGTATTGTGCAATACACAGTATATTATAAAAGAGACGGAATTTACGTATTGAAATTTTTTGAGATTTTTAAGTGTCGCATAAAATTATTAAAGTCCCTTTGTCGAATTTTATTGGTTTTCAAAATTTTAAGTTTCTTTTGTAATACCACCGGCATAATTGTTTGCCCATCATGTCATGACTTCAGCACATTGCTTGCATAGGTTATGATTCATAATTCCAACCTTCGTACAAATCAACTCATAACATAATATCCATTAATTGATTACGTGTATCAACGCATGAATTTTTTATATCGCGCGTATTGCATCCATGAAAGATAGAAAAGGTCATAGTATCTGTAGAAAGTGTTACATCAAAAAGATGGATACTTACGTCCCCTCATGAAATTGAATCTTTTTATAGGTCACACAAAAGGATTTTGGAAATGATTTAACGTATAGTTCTTTCCTGATGCATGCATGAATGCTATACACATCGAGAACAATGTGCTTTATTCAACACGGGGAAGGTTTATTTCTTTCGTGAAAAGTTCGAAATCTCTTCATCTTGCCTATTTTTCGAAACTTTTCTTCTTCTTCTTCTGAAAACATAGGTTTTCAATGTCTCCATACCGTAAGATTTTTCGATAACGGGTTTGCTTTGCATTGGAAGGAAACCTTGACTTCCAATTTATGCACGCTCGAATCACGGTTGGGGTATAGTATTCTTGGAATGGGATGAGATGGGCTGATTTCATACCGGAGATATGCAAATGATTGGTTTTTTCGAATTCTTGATATTACAGGGTATTTCCTTGTCATACTCAATCTTACAAGCTATATAGCTCACAATGAATGACCGTGATCTAATAAAACCAAAATTAGCCATCATCTACCTTGTTGATGAAACAACATAGGTGCTTCCGGAAATAGGCATTCTCCCACAACATACTGTATCTCGATTATTAAATTGAATGCCCCTGGTGGTGATTGTTTCTGCGAAATCCAATTTATCGTTACATTTACGAAGATGAATTGTTTAGAACTACTGAACGCCATCACTATTGTTACGGTGATTACTTTTTCATGGATTCATCGTCGAATATTCCAACTTGGAATACAATCCATTTATCTTCATCGCTGAAGGTAAAGATGAGACTCATTGGTGTAGTTTGGCAGTTTTAATGGTGTTGGGCATTAGATGCGCGTTGTTTTCTTGTCCATAGAATGTCGTACAGGCAATACTTCTAATTCTATCTCGAAATTCATGTAACAAACAATCCCATAATTTTTTTGACGCAGGTTGCGAATAGGCCCTTGATATCGTGTTGCAATAGTCAAATCGCGATGGTGGTTTTTCGATGGATGTAAATTAATGTTGACGTCGAAGCGTCTGAACCCCGTGGAAATCCATTAATCCTTCGTTCCCGGGCCAAAAGTCAACCGTTCTTGGTTTTTATTGCAGATAAGGTAAGCGTTTATTTCTTTCATTTGAATAATTTTACGCCTGAAAAAAAAAAATCTTTACTCCTTCCGAGGTAATTTTAACCGTTGGGCGAAAAATAAGAAACTCCAAAATTATCCTTTAACTTTCTTTTAAATTGTTTTTTGCATTATTTACCTAATTCTTCTTATATTGTAGCTCATCATCGGAGTTGATCGACAATTCGCTTGTCGATCATTTCCTAATTTGAATCCGGTTCATTTTTGTTTTTCACATCAGAAAACCAGTTACTGTATTTCATATTCTTTGGACGATAATTGAATAAAATGGTGAACAAGTTTCACAACTCCACGAACAAGCCTTCTTTATAAAAGCATTAAATTTTCTTTTCGGTTTTTTCTTTTATTTCTTTTTATTATAATAATAATTTTTTTTTAATGCAGAATAATCAACACATGTCTTTCTCGTCGTCCGATAAATATGAATTTTATACTCACCGGCCGTTAATACCGATTCATTATGCACTCTCTCCTTACTCCCAACCTAATATAATCGCTCCGAAAACCCAGTACATTACCACCGAGTTTATTGATGACGTAATAAATTCCGTGATAACAAGCGATGATAGGAAGAAGTATGAGTCAAAACTTTATCTTCCACTCCACGACCTCATATTTCCAAGCAATCGACTCAGGCGAACGACAACGCGTTGCCAAAATAGTTTCATCATCTTTAGAAAAGACTACCAAGCGAGAGTTATAGCGGAACACGGTCCAAAGGTAGGATCAAAACTCAAGGAAATTTCTCGCATGGCAAGTCGCATCTGGGGAAATTGTTCTCCAGAGGACAGATATATGTATGACCAAATTGCCCTATGCACCAAAAAACTGCATGGCAAGTTGTGGTCAAACTGTGACGCCCGTAGAGCCACACGAAGGCAAGGTGTCAACTATGGCAACTATGGTTATGGCGAAATAACCGAAGGTTGTTCGGCAACATTTTTTACACAAGATTCCATCGAAATTCCAGCTAATCGAACATTAAGTTGTCACGACAATCTCCATCTCCCAAAATCAAAATTTCTTGGACAAAATTCTTCAAGAACCCGATTGGAAATTAATTCCCTATCGTCCTATGATAAGGCGTTGGTTGAATTAATCAACAAGAGTGTTCGAATTTAAATGATACATTTCTTCCATTAAATAACAATATCTCCCCGTAATTCCAGAAACAGACAAGAAATTCGATGAACAAATAATTATAAAAAAAAATTTTTTTTTCTTGCATTATTTAATTATTCCTTCTAATCAAGGCAATCGATATTGCACTACACCTTCACACTCCCATTTCTTTAATATTCGTATAACATCAATACAAATTGCATTATTCCATTGTGTCAAATTAATCGTTATTACTATTTTCATGATTTCTCCTCGAAAAAAAGAATCCAAACGATAAAACACGTGATGTACTCAAAATATTGAACATCGCCGATCATTTTGAATGTTCGAATCTTCGAATTTAAGAACGAGTCTTGATTGCAAGAATTGACTATAAAGATTGTAAAGATATACAGCACTGTATACGTAAATAAAGAATTACACGAGCCAATAAATCGCTTTATTACGGTATATGATTTCGAAATTGAATAATACAGTAATATTATTAATACAGATATACAATATAAATATTTGTGTATCTAAATAAAAATAATAGTTATATGCGATAAAAGCAAAATACTATTCGAACCATTACAAAGAAATGCTTGTTTGATACCTTTTCTCAAAGTTTTTTTTTTCTAAAAAAAATAAAGGTCAGCATTATAACAAAAATGCTGTTGTGATGAATGGAGATCATCCGAAAATATATAACATAGAGGTTTAAAATCGTACACGATTTTTTTATATTTATTTATCATCATCAATTTCTAAATAATTTACTAAAAATAAGAGTTAATAAACTATTGTTAATTGATTACATACAGTATACAGTATGTTACAAAAAAAATGATATCTATATTTTTAGTTATAACTTAATAAATAATTTTTATAAATTTATGAAAATTTATAAATATATAGTTAAATATCTTATAAACAACTTTACTTAATACTGTTTTAATCAATATATTAATATTTT